GACTTCCTGCCCCTTGGGCAGGGGACTGGACTTGATGATTTTCCGAAGTCCCTTCTCGCTCTAATGTCTATGAAATCTATGAAATCTGTGAAGGATGATCCTGTCTTAAGGAGGGGGCTGGATTAGAAGACCTTCTGAGGTCCCTCCCAGTCCTACTTTCCTGTGATCCTACGATGGTGGGATCAGGCCTTAATGGGGGATATGTCTAAATAGTAGACAAATCAGAATAATATAATACTGATGCATTTCTTTCCCTCTTCTCATTTTGGAATACATGGGGGAAAAAAACCCAACCAGATGCATATTGCATTGAATAAAGAACATGTACATTTCTTTTAAAACACTTGTAACTTACATTTTTAATAGAGGGTACAGCATCTGATTAAAACCTTGCTTTAAAGTGATGGGTCTATTAAAACAATCCATGTTAGTCAGTGATTGTTCACTGTAAGAGGGAATTTTCTCCAGTGAAGTAAATTGGAAGGAAACCAGACTTCAGAAACCCTTCATATAGTGTTCAAGAGCATTGTATAGGAATGTACTTCTGTTCACAAAAAGTTCATTGAAACGAGTGAGTCATCAGTACATTTTCCTACAGAAGGAGTCGATTAGAAAGGTGGGCACTGTTGTCATGAATTCCATGCTGGATATCAATTTCAATTATTTTCTGCTAATCTGAAATTTGTCCCCCTTGTCAATTACCCTCTGAACTTTCAGTTTCAAAATTAACTTGATTTTTTTTCTGGCTTTTTTCTATGCCATGACAATTAGATCTTGGCTTTTGGAAGCTTTTTTAGTTTAAATGTTTTTCTCACTGGACTTTTGTAGGTCAAAGAGTATTCCAAGGCTGCTTCTCTCTCTCTGAGTGGCAGCTCTCCCAAAAGAGCAAATACAGAGTTTTTCTGGCCTTGTTTTCATGAGGATTTAGGGGAGAGTTACTACTTAGCCTTTGGATTGAGTAGTGCGTATGCAACTGATTGCATTTAAATGGAGATCTTTCTAATATGAAGGTGATCACAACTTCAAAAATAGAAGCCCAATGTTTCCTTCTCAGCCTTTGAGCATCAAAATAAATGGTCCGAATGTTTAAAAATGTAGTTCAGCGTCACAAAGATTGAAAGATTGCCATTTATTAAAGATTGCTCCTACCTACATCCTATCTGCACTGCTTCCATTGACACCATTTAGAGTAAAACTGCTTACTTCACCAGTCCCCCATCAAATTGCATCAATTTTCATTTAAATTATTAAGCTTCAGCCGTAAATTGATCTTACTATGCATGTCTACTTGTGCAATTAACTCAAATGAATAAACTTCCAGAAGTAGCATCAGAGCTTATTGCTCCTGGGTGCCACATTTACACATATGCCTAGGAGCACAGCACATTGAGCTGGGTCGGAGCAGCCCCGGTTGGAAAGGAGTCTGGGGGTCAGCCTACAAACCTGGGGCTGATCTGACCTGGCTCAACGTGCTGAAGAGGGGCAGGCTGGGGTACAAGGGTGCTTCAGTGCAGCACCCTGATGCCCCAGTCAGCCCTGTCGACATCTACAAGCGTGTTGCTGCGGAGTACAATGCTCTGCAATAAGATAGTACTTGTATTTACAAGTACTAACCTGTGGCAGAGTTTATTATTTTACTTCAGCCTAACTTCCCTGCGTATGTAGACACTGAGAAGTTTACTGCAGAGCTAATTAGTCAACCCTACAGTAAATATCTCCATGTAGCTGTATCTAGTGATACACAAAGAACTGCATGCAATATTATTAGAAGTGATCGATGGTCAGCTTTTTTTCTTAAAGCAGCATGGATACACAAGGTCCACAGGATTATTACCAGTGCCAAAGACTCAAAAACTGAAAGTTAGGCCCTGAAAAATCATGAGTCACTTAAAAATTAGTAGATTTTAAGACATCATGCTGTGGTTTTTTTCTCATTCTCCATTGTGAGATTTTAAGGTTCGTGTTCCCAGGGTTTTTTTATACAACCATGCACGATAGGCGCTTTCTAAAAAAATAAAATAAAATAAAAAATGAAAACTGAGATGTCCCACAAATGGCATTATTTCAGGAGCTGGAGCTCTAAGACAAACACAATTTTGCAAAACTCATGATTGTAAGAGCTGGAGGGTAAAGGGAGATGACAGAAGGAGCCTTGTACTCTCCCTCCCTTCCATGCAAGGACCAGACGTAGTCTTTAATTTCCAGCTCATATGGTTTAGGGACATTTTAGCCCAAAACAGACTAGGAAAGGGCCCTGTTCCCATCCACGCTGGCCTGCTGGCGAGAAGGGCCTCTTATAAAAGCGTGCAGTAGCAAGTACTGCTGAGCAGGGTCGCCTTAGTCTCTTCACTCCCGTTAGCCTTCTCTGAAAATACAAAGTAGGTTAAATGAGAGGGAGGAAGGAGAACTGAGTAGAACATGAGGGCCTGATTCTGTTCTTGCATTCTGGCTCCTATTCCGTCAGGTTGGGCCAGGGAGGGACCCATCCTGCACAAAGGTAAAATGGAGCTGATAAAAGCTTACGGTGTCCCCTTCTTCTTTTGCACCCTGCCAGGCTATCAATGCACAGAGCCCCATCCCACCCACTCAGGGGGGGTTGAAAGGTGGGCAGTGCTTTGACTGTGTGTCCCCCAGCTCTGGGCATGAACAACGCGTGCCCTCGGAGGCTGGGAAGGCACAGTGACCGCCTGCAGGCAGCAGTGGTGGTGGCGGTGTAGCGGCAGCAAGTGGGGAGCTCCCACAGGTGGCGGTGTTGGTGGGGGGGGGGTTATGAGTGCCAACCGGTGGTTGGTGACCACCTGCAGATGCCACCAGCAGCGTTGGTGGTGGCCAGAAGCCACCAGCAACCGCCCACAGATGCTGCCGGCCGAGTTGATGGCAGGGGGAGGAGACAGGGGTTGGTGAGTGGGGACTCTGGCTCTGGCGACTGCGAGGTGCCACTTAACACAAGTCTACCCATGCCCAGAGGTGGGGAAAGGGGAGGGGAGCCCCTCAGTGAATGCCTAAGTGATAGAGGTGACATTTTTTATTAGACCACCTAGACAGTTGCAAAATAATAATAATAATAAATCTTTATTTGCAAGCTTTTGGGCACGGGTGCCCTTCTGTGGGGAATGCAAAGCTTGCAGAACTTCTCCCTGTGACCCTGTGTCTC